TAGACGGGCATTAATGTTATAAAAGCCGTACCTTATCGGTCTTGAATGAACAGCAAATTTCAGTCTTTGGCAAAATAAACATGTTCATACCGCTATGGACGGATTAATATGGGCGGTAACATAAAAATTATATTTTAGCTCCTGTCTGATAGGTATTTTTTTGGCCCAGCATAGTAATGCGGTTTTGCATCCATACATTGCAGCAGTCATGAAGCCGTGACCTGCTTAGAACTTCCCCTAGGCAGCTTGTGTCAAGGGATCGGTGTAGCTACATCTTGTGTGAAGGAAGGTCTCTGTTGGTCCGTTTTATACTGGAATCTGTATCCCAAAAAACTTCATATAATGCGCCGCCGAGGGAAGTTAAGCTAACGCCGTCCACTGGATCGCTACTAGTTCACACCTGTTCATTGTATCAACGGCCATCGCTCAGCATGAAGCGCAACGTGTCGGTCTGTTAAACTACGAAGACATGGCGGATTGCGTAATGCCCAATGGTGATGCAGTGAGCATCAAACCGGTCCTGGACGATTAAGTCCGCATTCTGAGAGAATATCGTTTTTTCAGCGTTTTTTTGTTGCTTAATATTCAGAGTCATGTTCAAAACCGGCTTTATTGGCATCTGTTATATTCGTATGCATTACGCGTTTGCCCTTATAAATAACAAATGCAACGTACCATTTGATTTGCATGCGTTTTTGAACGCGCCTCAACCGATTAGCTGTTAGTTGTCTGTGAATCGCTAACGAATGCGTTGTTCAGTTAAACATTACATTCACTTCAGTGATCTGTCTGATGAACCGTTACGTGGTTTTTGCCGGTCGATCGTTCGATCGACTGACTGTTGTCGAACGCATAGCACCAGAGCACCCGGTTCATTCATTGCATGAACGTGGCTAGTCGAAAACATGCCGTCGGTAGCTGCTATAAGGCTGCATATGTTTATGGCGATGTCGATATTCTGCGTTGGAATGTTCACCGTTGTCGGTCAATGTAAGTAGCCATATTGTTGTGTATTTTCATCGTCATCTGACGCGAACAGGGCTTCAGTGGCACAGTAACCAGCTGGGCAGATTTATTATATGTGACCGTATTATCGAACGCCGATTTTGCCAATAACAAACATTTGGGCGTATTCTTTATTAACTAAGTTCTTTTCATCAGGCAGTCTAACTTTGCGCATCAAATCGAATGGTGACTTACGGTGAAGAAGAACCGACGTTTTTGACAGTGCTTTATGAATGATATTAGGGAACGAAAAAAAAATACACGAATACAGTGATTAGTTCCGAAAATCATATGCATTTGCAAGTCGTCCTGTAGATATCATGAATTCGAGCATTACAAACCGTGATTGAGAGTATAAGTGACACTACTCGAGAATTTATTCTTCGAAACAGTGCTGATCCTGGCAAAATCTAAAGAGAGTGTACAATTTAAGATTTATGGCTAGGTATCTTTCTGGCAGAGATGATAGTTTTATGATGAGTAGTACGAGAAGCGATTTCTGTTGCCGGAAGGCTTCCATTTGCAAAGCAGGTACGAAAGCTAGTCTTTTCCTTAACGTCCGAAGTTGTCAGAAACCCACCAGACGTGGCTGATTTCTAAACAAGTGAAGCTCGACCAGTCTAAGTAACTCAGCTCAGTCATCTCTAGCGAGGTCATTATCCAGCCAGATTAAATGGAGGAGGATCGTCTTAGCCTCGAGTGCTTGTAGAAACCTGTCCAAACGAGTTACTTTTCAACGCAAGTCCGCCGGTACCTTACCTCTATGAGGCCAGTATTGTCGTACGGTATAGAGATAGTTATTTTAACGATTGAGCAAGAACGATGGTTGAACTGCGTACAGCAGCGTTGGCTTAAAAAGCATAATGAGGGTCAAATGGCAGGGCCAAATAAGAAACGATTCCGTTCTCTTCCAGGTACAGATGACCTCGACTGACATGAACAATAAGAAAATGAAGTTAGCTCTGTTAGACAGACTGGTTGAGCGTACACTATTTTCTCCACTCCGTGAGTTTGCCTGTGGTTCAGAGAACCTTTTCAATTGGTCGAACATCATTATCAACCTGAGCAGTTGTGCTATTTTGGTCTTTTTAGCTTCACATGACGCTGACAGTCACGACAACAAGTTGAGCTTATAAACGAATAACGAAAATGTGTGTTTAGGGACAAAGCAAGGCGCCTGCCCGACGGTGCCGAACCACGTTCCGACCACCGGTCTGCAGCACGATTGCGACGAAGACCGTTACTGTCCGAACGGGAGAAAGTGCTGCGACACTCTCTCAGGAAGAAAGTGTCTCCTTCCAGACGCTTCTGTGGCAAGCCGTGAGTTTTTCCTCTATCACTGTGGTTATTAACTGTATGCAGAATCCATGTGTCGCATGTTCTTTAGACTTCAAGAGGGGTTCATGTCCTGACTTTGACCACAGTACGCTCAGCCCGGCGACCCTACAACAGGATCACTGCATATCTGACCAAGGATGTGTGGGCCATTTGAAATGTTGTTTGACCGTCAGTGGGACCAGATGTATGCTGCCGGAAGGTAGGTGTTTTCAACGCTGTCAAGAAAACCACCCGACATTGCTTTCTTTCAGGTATCTGCTCCAATGGTCTGCTGTCACCCGCCCACTGCGATACGCCGAACACGTGCCCACGTGGCTACGAGAACTGTGAAGCAGGTCAGTGTTGCCCATGAATCAGCGCTCAGCGTCTTTTAAGCGGCTCGCAGACATTTTCTTTTGTGAAACAGTGAATCATAACGATAACTTGATAACTTGATTGCTACAAAGATAACTGTTTCAATGAAAATCATTTTTCCATTAGTTAAGTTTTAAATCGTGTTCTTATTCATTTTTTTATTGAATAATATAGTTTACGGGATATTGTAAAAGGAGTGTAATCTATTGGATTAGACGCGCTGAAATTTTAACCAGTAATACGAAATCTTAGCTTGTCGTCCATAGAAAAGACTAGACACACTCGCTCGAAGTATACAGTCCTTTCGTCGAGTGATGATCCGTACGGAAATTTCGTGATTCTCGTATGCTGTCGTTGCGCTGCGCTGCATACGCGGTTCCGACAGCCATCAAGTCTCTGCCTTGGTCTGAAAATACAACAAAACAGAGCATAAGTGGTATAACGCAATTTCATCAAATTATTTGGACCGTAAAGGAAGCTAAAAGGTACAGGACATAAAGGAGGCTTACACCTTGTGCTAATGATGGTACTTGGCAGTCAGCCGTTTCAAGGAGAATTGCAGACATGACAAATGTTCGAATCACCTATTGCTGCCCGTTACTCAATTGTTTCCACTGAAGTAACATGGGGGTGAATTCCTTGATCAAGGGAATTTGTGGCTTTTTGGAATGTGAAAGAGCACTTTCGAAGATCGAAACCGACCTCTTAGCACTGTCACCCCCTCCCCCCCCCCAACATGTCTGCATATCTGTCTCTCAGCTGGTAGATTCGTCAGAATTC